GGCGGGAGGTGCAGCCCCCACGGGGTTGGCGGAAGCCTCAGTGCTTGCTGACCTCTGTACCGCTTCAGCTCTGCCTGCCCTCGCAGACGCCGAGCAACCCTGGGAGAGCGGAACCCTTGGGTAGGGCCCGGGGAGGGCACAGGGCGCTGGGGAGCCATTGGGACCCCTCAGCCACATAGGCCAGGCTGCGGGTCGTGCCCCCCAAGGGACGGTCTGGCAGTGTTGGTGGTGGCCCCACACAGCCCTGCGGAGGTCTAGGGAAGAAAAAGGGCTTTGGGTCCATGTCAGACCCCAGCGGAGCTGTGCTGGGGCAGGCATGGTCCCTCAGCCCCTCTCCCGGCTAGTGCCTCTGCGGGCATGCTGATAACGATGCCCCTAAGGCTTTGCTCGATGTAGACCACGGCAGAACTTCTTACTGCAGCCTTCTCACCACCCTCCCGTGCCAGGGTGACCTGGAGCATAAGGAGACAGCATCTGCCTTTGACAAACGTCTGCTCAGAGCTGGAGGCGTTGGGGTGGTGTTACTCTCCCCTGGAGGCCTCTGGCACTCCCTTTTTGAAACACCATCATCTCACATGGGGACCAAGATCAGCGATAGATGAACACCCCATTCAAGCAGCACAAGAACAGCCTCAAGGGAAAAAGTAAGATTGGTTCCTGGGGAAAAAAGGGCAGAAAAAGCAAAGCTGGAATGCAAATAAAGCCCAGTGGTTTAAATGGGACAAAGCCTGTGGTGGTCTGCTGGGCCTGGCAGGGCAGAGGAAGGAGGACAATGCTGGTGATGAAAAGCAAATCTTGTGCTCTGCTTTTCAAGGCAAGGGACCAGGAAGAGCCCAGGGACCAGAAGCAGAAATGCTGACCTGCTGTTGAGGAGCACAGGGAGGGAGGTAGATGTATGAAAACCTTCACTGGAAGGAAAGTTTAGGACCAGCTTCCCAGCTGAGAGGAAAGGGAAAGTAAAGTACCTGCACAGATTGCTTGGACAGAGACTGCTGAGTCTCCTTTCGTCTCAAGGGCTGGTCCGGCAGACACCTGTCACAAATGGTGTGCATGTTGGGAAGCTCACTTAATTAGTGTTTGTGAAGTGCTCTGAGGACAGGAGATGTTCTTGAGATGCTGAGCAGTACTTTAGTAGGAGCCTCTCAGACAGAGCTGTCTTCACAGCTCTTCCTCAAGCATTTTTCCTCCAGACAGATACTGCTGTTTGAAGGAGTGTGACTTCTCCTTTGAGTGTTCTGCTGGAACAAGGATGAAAGGCAGGAATGTTCATATCTCAGAGCTATTTGCCTCGTCGAGCAGCCTGCCTGCATGTTCAGGGACACCACCACAGCATTTTACGAACTGCCTTATGACGGAAAATCAGTCTGTTGAAGTTTAAATCTTCAGCTGCTCCCAAGTATGTGCAACACTGGGTGTAAAACTGCAGCAGTGGTCTGGTCTTCATTTGGAAATGAAGGTGCCAGGACCCCTAAATACCAGTGAAGGGTCTGTAGCATCTTTTTCATTCAAACAAAAGAGTGCTGGGTAATGTGAGATTGCAGGCACTGTGTTTGGATGGTTCAAGCAACAGGGGCTTACAGAGTGACAGCACCCCTTTACCCCCAGCAGCTGCAATGTGGAATGTGAGGAGGTGCCACCAGGAGCCTCTGCCACCATACTCCTGTATTCAGCCTGCAAGACACTGCTAGGCGTAGCTGCCTATCTGACCAATGGAAGGGGGACCTGAATTGGAACTTGTTGGATTTAAATCAGCTATAAAGGGAAAGTCTGCACTCAAGAGATGCTGAACAAGGAGGGAAGACGATCTCTAGCAACAGTAATGTAGCTGTATTAATAGAGGATGATGCTGAGCAGACAGCAAAGCCAGCACTGCTGTCCACAATGTGGACTTGAGAGCCCACCAGGGTCCATGTCCCCCCTCCCCACACACATTCCCTCAGCTTCTTTTGCACCCTTCAATAGATGATACAGGCCTGGAACATGACTCCCTCTGACCCGTATTTTAGATCAACCTGGAGTGTTTCCTTGAAGGCAAGCAAGAGGTTTTGGCATGTTCCCTGGTTTTACCAGCTTTTCCCCCCACCTTTTCATGTAGATTCCTTCAAAACCAGCAGTGCTCTTGCTAAAGCTGAACCCTGTGGAGCACAAGAAACCCCCCCGCCTGGGGGACACATCCATCCCCACCACTGCTAGCAGCATTGCTGGCTTCCCCCAGCCTCATTGCAAGGTCCCAGTAACAAAGCTACAAGGAACGGGCAGCCAGCAATATGTGCTTCACCTTGCACAGCTCGTTTCAGTCAAGGGCAGTAGGATGCAAATCTTGAATCTGAACCCCTTCTTTTTCAGGTCACCACATTCCATTTCTGCACTGCGTGGAGAGATGCACAAGAACAGGATAAAAGTAATGCTCATTCCCCTGTCATCCCACCTTCCAGGAGCACTTCTGCAACAGACCCAAACAACCTTGTTTGTTCTCTCTAAGAAAGCTCAGTTTGGAGTGAGACTCAAGCTCAGCCTCTGCACCGATCCAACTCTGCTGCCAGGCTGGTGAATGCCCCATTGCGCAGCCACGTCACAACACATTTCTGCCAGCTTTGCTTCAGCTGTAGGCACATGCCTTGCTCTACCAGAATTGTGCCTGTGATTCAGTTCCCTGGCTCTGACCGTGCTCCCAATCCTAAGTTAGGATGGGGGTGGTGGAAATTCCCACCAACTGTGGCACAAGTAAACTTTCAGTTCATGGCAACTGCAGGCAAAGGAGACCTTTTACTGTACAAGACATCCAGGCTCAGCTGAAGGAAGCTGCCAGCCAAGGAGCGAGGCAGCTTGGGATAGGGCAGAGGCAGAGTTTTGCAGCACAGACCCCAAATCCTGCAACAGAACAATTTCTCAAGTAGAAACCCTTCACTTCCTCCTTGTCTTTCAGGCTAGAGAGCAGTATGTGGAAAGCAAAGCTGTCCAACAGATGAAATGGGGCCAGCAGCAGCAGTGAGCTTGAGTCCCATAGGCAGAAAAAAGCACTGCTGAAAAAAAAATCAGTTTTGCAGTCAACAGAGGTGGAAAAGCAGGTGAAGGAGGGAAGAAATCAAACAAGAAGGAATTGGGAATGCCTATTCTCACATACGTATGTCCACTGCCTAAAGGTGAGAAGGGTGGGGTAATGCCTACCCTCAAGTGCTGGCCTAAATTGAATTGAGCTCCAGTGGTCTGACCATTCATACATTCAGAAATGCCCAGCTTCTGTGTTTGGCACAAATATTTAATAACAATTCAAAACTCAGTATGTTCCATCTTAAGTCTTATGTGGAAAATTAGTGCAGGTGGTAATCTAATTGTACAACAACATGTTAAAAAAAGTTTATTTTACATTATATACATTAGGGAACATATTTCAAAGCATTACCAATCACAACAATAATGCAGGCCATAAATCACTTTAAATTTAGTTTGGTTTTAGTGTATATTATCACAATAAAATATAAAGAACATATACAAAAAAAGGAGTCAAATGTGTGCATTTTGCTAAAACTTTGCATTTACATACTCCATTGGAAAATAGCAATCAAAAATACTTCTGATCAAAACTACATTCCTGTAATGCGTAGTAACCATTGTATTGTTTGAATGAGGTAGTAACTAAATTATTTTGGCCGTGTGTTAACATCCTAAATCAAGGTAAGTGTGAACATGGTTATAAGGCCAAAAAAAAAAAAAGTCAAAATGGCAACATCTTTGAGCCATTTCCACAATGTGGAATGTTGCTCCTTTTCATTGTGATGTGACACTATTTAGTAAGACAAACAAGAATACTAATTTTTATCATTGTATACACTAATTCAAATACCTATTGCAGTGTTACAGACAGGTACCACTAGTCTGGGACTGACACCCATCCAGAAAAGTATTGTATTGTTTTCAAGCATAAAGTATTTGTAAGGAGAGTTGTAATTAAATATAAAAATACAGGTGTTTAACTGGTTTGTTTCACAAAGAAAACTACCCAAGTAAACAAAAAGAAGAAAAGGAACTTTGAAGCCCAAGTCATCCACAAAGTCACAGCTTACCTTTGTGACTAAATACATCACATCTCAATACGTTGTGCAAACATGAACACCAGTGTGTTGCATCAAAATTAAAACAAGATTGTAATCTGATTACAGCCTTGGTTACAATTACTAAAAGCTTAGATTTATTTGTATTAGTAAATTACATATAATAAAATACAATAGTGTTGTTAAATGTACTATGTTTGCTGCTAGCATCCCACTTGATAATAAACACAGGAGAAGTCCTTAAAATAGTACCCCGATTTCATCCTCAGTGACTTTTACATCTGTACAGGTAAGACACTTGTACTGAACAGGAGGACCACTATCTACAGAAAATCAGTGTAGGTCTTCAGCAAGAAGTTTCACTGAAAAGTACTGCATATGTACAAAGATTACATAACAGTAAATTAAGCACTTCTGTGGTAGCATAATGCTTATGTGTCCATACCACAAACAATTCCCGTCTTCCTCTCATGCCACAATAAATTATAAAGTAACTGAAGTTGGGATACTGCAGCTTTTGTGCAGTTTCAGCCAGCCATGACCGCTGCTGCAGCAGGAGTGTCCTCTTGGCGTGGTGAGCTGCCTGTGTCCACTCTTCTCAGTAACTGTTCTCATGCCCTGCCAGGATGTATAAATTGCTGTTGGCCGTTGGGTTATCCGTTGGCCTGCTCTCCAGCACCACGACCCTAAAATGGAAATAAAAAAGCCATCAAGTAAGTCTTCATTTAAAAACATCCCTGGATGTAACTGTAAATATTATTTCCCAGGATCCATCTAACCAGTGGTCATTTGTCTTTCCCTGGATGCCTCTAATCCAAAAGCTGTTCAAAGCAAGGCCTGCCTCAAAGCTAGCTCAGGGTCTTGTCCAGGCCAGGTCTCCAAGGATCTCCCACAGCATCTCTGGACTCCTACTGCAGTGTTTAACCACCTTCACCATCATGTTTTCCCCTCTCTTGTCCACCTGTAATTTTCCTTGCTGCAATGCATGCCTGTTGCCTCTCATCCTTTCAGTGGGGGCTTCTGAAGAGGGTCCATCACTCGCCTACTGCCTGGGCTTGTGCTTCCCTGGAGCTTTGCAAAGCGAACCCATTAATCAGGCTCTAGTTCTGGAAGTCATTAATCTGCTCTTTGCCATTAAACATGACAGATAACCAAAGCGGACTCTTGTGAGAGCATTTCTAGTCTTTCCCTGAGGCCATGTAACCAAAATCCACATAAACTTCCTCTGGAAGTCCCAGAGACAAAGACTTGCAGGCTGGGAGAATCCTCAAGTAAAGGATTGTTATGTGCAGAATCTTCTCTCTTACTCTTTTCTTGCCACCCACTTTTGGCCAGCATTGGAGACAGGAGACTGGGTTAGCTAGACCTACACTGCAACTGGCATTCCCTGCTCAGCAGGAGAAAGTAACACGCAAGCTCTTATCAGACTGATGCCAGTTTTTTGGCTCCTTAGAACCTCAGTTCCTATGAACTGCCTAGGAAATTACACGTTACTGGAAAAAGGTTTCACAGCTTAAGCACAAACTATGACAGAGCTGCAAGCAAAATGGTCCCTGAAGAAACTGGCATTAATGTTTACTGCAGCGCAAAGTCTTTAAACATTGTCTCAGACTTGGGAAACAAGTAGCACAAGCCATAAATAAATAAAACTGTATTTGAGGAAGACAACATTATTTTTCAAAGGCAATGATTTGCAATGTCATGCTCCACTGTGAAGTCAGACTCGTTTTAAAATTAAGCTGTGCTGACTTTCAACAACTAAGAGAAATGCCATAATAAAGCTGAGCTCCATGCACACCATACTGGAACAGAGTAAAACCCTCAGGTCAGAGATGAGTATTACTTACAACAACTATCAACTATCAGGTATTGCACGTAAGGCAGAATCCTCACCCCCCAGCCAGCAAAACCCACTGGTAGCCAGCTGATAAAGCCACAGCACCATTCACTGCTGCTGACGCTATATTGGTAATTACAGGCCTGTGCCTCAAGCTTGGAGAAGCAGAATATAGGGAAGACCTTTCGCTGATGTGAAACTTTTTTGGTAGTTCTAAGATGCCACAAGAGAGTGAGTTTACTGCAAGTGCCATAGGACAGAGACAATTCTCAAAAGAAAAATTAAAGCCTATCTTTGCACTTCACATAAACACACTACTCGTGAAATCATCACGTCAGCATGCACTCCCAAGAAAACAAAACATGTGCTGTTTTCATGGCTATTACAGAAGTACAAAGTTCGACAGCAGGGCAGAGAAAGTTGAGGAAGTCAGTGACACTCCTATAATAGCAGTTACTGACTCAGCAAGCTGGTATCTGATGGGTCAGATAGACACGGTGTTAGTATCCTGCAAAGCAGATGCTAAACAGCAGCTATGCTGGGAATTACCAAGAGCTCTTACAAGACCTGGGCTGTCATGTTGGGAGGACAACTGGTAGAGTTCCTCTCTGGAGGTGGAAGTGAGATACTTAAATTTTTAAGTATTTTTTTACAGTTGTCTCAAGAAGTATATCTTGATGAGCTACTGCAGCACAGCATCCGAAAGTAAAGATTTCACCCAGGTAAACAAAATAATTACAACACAAAAAGGAAGGCACACACAGAGATTGTGACTGCAGCCAAACAGGAGCTTGCCAACGTGGCCAAGTACTTCTGGAAGTCCACAAACAGTTTCAGAAGAATTATTTTTTTTTGAAGGAAGTAAAATTAAAGGGCTGAAAGGTAAACATGTACACAAAGGAAGGAGTAAGATGGTTAAAAAAGTACTGACAAAAACAAGCAAAAAGAACTTTTACAAGGTAGGAGGAACACACATTATTCTCTTATTTTAACATGCCATGTTCACTTGTCTTTGTACCTGTCAGATCCCAGAAGCCTGAATATCCTCGTATTATCAGAAATTTCTTGTGTGATCTAGACAAAAATAAGACAAGTGTTTACATGTTAAGTGCACAAGCATTTTTACTTTGTTGTTAAAAATTAACTTAGAGAAAAGAATTGACTATGACTGATGATACTCATTTACTACTGTCACTTTTAAATGCAGTCTAGTAGTTTTCCGTAACTCCTGCCACGCAACAGGGCTCAGTACCGCACAGCATCCAAGCTACTGGTGCAATTCTCTTTACAGCCATGACTCAAATAGGTAGTTGTAGAATGCAATTTCTCTCACTCTAGATAGGCAAAACAGGTCAAGTAAATCACACGTAAAATGTATTTTGTTGAAATTCGGAACTATGGTAATGATGCAGTAAGTTCATATTCTGAAAACCTTAACAGACAAACATAATCTAGTTTGTGGTACTTAGGCGATGATGAAAAGAAAACAGTATTTTGACATTTCAGACTAGTGCAACAGGGCATTGTTTACTGTGAGTGAATTGTACTTGTACAGTACATCTTTGTGATCAAATGAATATCAAAGAAAACATCGTGTTGATTAATGAAGTCAATCGAAGCCCACCGCATACTCCAAAGGATATCGAGTCACACCATGAACAGGCAGCACTGTTTACTAAGCTCCTTTTCTACAGCCACATTTCACATTCTTGAGGAAAGAAGAGATTCCTCTCTCCTTCTCAGATCCTGGTAGCGTTAGCTGACACAGTGAATTCACTTCTGGCACAGAGAACTCACAAGGCAATTTTAATTCACAACAACAAAGTTGTCCACTTTAAAAAAATTACTTTCTGTTTGTTGTGGGGCTGAGTCAGCACAATCTTGGGCCAAATTTTGAGTCTCTTGTCTCAGAATTCACAGTCCCCTGCTTCAATTTTCCCACTCGATCAAACCACTGTGCAAGGTAATGGTTTGTGGAAGGGAATAACTTGGCAGGCACCTCAAATCATCACCAATTACACCAACTAATATTAGATTAGGGAATATGAACTAATAACGTCTTTAAAGACAAATGTGCTGCAAAGTTACGTTGGCCAGGTGTTTGTCCCATGTAACCACTTCCTACATACTACATAGTATAAAATTTCCCAAAAGTAACGAATATGGTCAAGATCTGAGCCTGATAATGCAGGCTTTTCCTATAACAGATAAAAATGAGATGGGTTGTTTGTTTTTTTTCTTAATAGCTGTGGCTAGTTGGAAAGCCAGGAGACAGAAGGAATTTAAAAAGGCCTGAGAGCTTACCCTAGATATGTTCTACAGAGAAAAAGTTTTGGGTGGCTTGCTTTCTGACAACAGCTCAGTTCTGTCTTCTGTTCTTCATTTAGGTGCTGGCTTTGGCTTGACAGTAACAAAAGCACGAAGACAGCGTTCCTTATGCTTTACATAAACAATATAAAGCAACCACTTGTGCTGCAGCACTCTGAGGCATGTCCTCTAACAACTGGATCAGCACTACTGAGTGCCAATGGGTGGAGTAATCCACCGAGCCTTGCAGAATGCTGCTAGCACAAGTCTGGAGCTGGAGAAGTGCCTGGCAGCGTTATCTCCTCCTCATGGTCTGTGCTAACACCAGGGTGCTGCAGCTCACCACTGTGATTTCTTAGGAGAAGGACAGTCACGCCTGGGGATCAAACACACACAAAGGCCACAAGAATGATTTGCAGACTTGGAAATAAGAAGTAGCCTGACTCTAGTCTTTGGGTTCAACTTCCCACAGAGAGCAGGCTTACTGTCAGCACAGATTAGGTCTGCTGTGGCTTTGTGCAAATAAATGTAGTTGTGTAACAACATCGAGTATCTACACTTGGCATGGTGTGCCTGTATGTGTACCTTAAAATTTAGTTAATGAGCATAATTTCTCAGCCAGGGCACCAGTGATGAAACGATTGGTGAAGTTTGTAAACATTTTTTAATAACCAAATTAAAAGACTCATTAAAATCCTACAAAGCTCAGCTTTTCTACCAACACATATACGCGCAAGGTTTGCAGCAAGAAAAAGAACTGGTAATGTACTTGTAATGGTTTAACCATGTCCAAAAATCACATCAAACTGGCTGAAGAAAGGAACTACGCAGAAATTTTTGAAAACAGTCTCTAGGACAATCTGACAGTTTTCTTCTGAGAATGGAAGATACTTCTTGTGAAAGCTGGGCACTAAAGTCTCCCAAGTACTCATAAAACAAGGAAACACAGAAAAGACTAAAAAAACCAAACCAGGCAACTCGTTCAACGCTGACAAAAAGTTAAAACTCTGCAGTAGAGCATGCAACCACTGGCAAAACCTAAGTTTTGGTATCCACATGTGACAGGGTAAGGGACTGGCACTGCTCTTCAAAGCAATTTAAGGCGAAGAAGATTACAGTTACCAAGAATTAGGTTTGGATATTTTCTATGGCATCATGGCCCAATCTCTTGTTGGCTTTCCGCTTCATATGTTAGACTTGACAAGGGCTCTTGTAAGCTTCACTAATTAGTTTGCAGCTTATGAAACTTGCTTAGAATGAGACTCCAGCTTCCACATCTAACCTAGGAAGTTACTGAAATGTTTTACTCTTTTTCTGATCACAGCACCATGCGTTCATCCTCTGCTTGGCTTATATTAGAAGCTAGAATTTGAAGCAAAGTGCAGTACTCACCTCATTTGATCTAAAACTCCTTCCTTGCATGCCATGTTTCCAGAACGCTAACACACTATCTTGTAGGCAGACTGGGGAGAAAGAACACTGGAATCAGTCTTGAAACATAATGTCAACTCATGCTTTTAAAGCCAAAAGTGTATGACTGCAATTTTGAAATTTGTTCCTATACATTTTACTGTACCACATTCACCCACATGGACTGCAAAATGTCGCACAGGAATCACTGAATCTGCCTCAGAAGTAGCTGCATTTATACATTTGTTTGCTTAATGAGTGGAGTTTAAAAATATTCCCAACCAACCAGAAGAAGTTCTACAACTGCCTTTCTGTCTAGTCCTACACACGTCCTTCTCTTTAAACTGGAAACTCCTCCTTATTGTAACACTAGCAGAAAATACGTATTGAATTTTAACAGAAAACTAACAGGGACACCAATAGTGACATTTTTCACTTTCCCAGCAACCATTGGCTAATATGATCTTTTTGGAACAGCAACACAAAGCTTTACAGAGTCCTCTACTTCCCAGACCTTCCCCTTGTCACAAACACGGTGACAAACACCGTGGGCATTTGGACCCCATAAAAGGAAACAGGTCCAGGGCCCTCCTCAAAGAGAGGGCAAGTGCGTAGGTCCCCAGGAAGAATCTGTGCCACCTGCACCCAGGATCCTGCCTTTGGGCAGGCACACAGGAAAGAGCAGAGCTCTTTGGAGATACATTCAGGACAGTGACAGCTTGTTTGTGACAAGCAGAGAGAGAACTACAGCACATGCAGAGGGGTCCCACTGTGAGTAGCTTCAAGTACATGTACTCCTTCCTTCCTCTCATTCCTAACCAACAGGAGCCATAAAAGTGATGTTTACCATGACAATGTTGTTTTGTCCTCTTCTCTGTGGGACATTATGTTTGAAGTGCCTCAAACTTTAAAGTTTCTCCTCAGAAGTAAATTCCCTCCAACTCCCTATTGTTTTTGTTCCAGCTGTTCCACCTCTTCTAGCTCTACCCTCCATCTGTGCACACATCCTTCCTCATACCTCTTTCAAAAGCATGTGATGCAATCCACGTATTTAACCACTATCAAAATAAATGTATTCTATCTTTCTGTTTCACAAATCTAATTTATTCAGATTCTTCACAAGAAAACAAAATTTACATGAAGTGTGACATATCATGTAATTTAGTCTGTGAGCTGCCTTGTAAAAACAGACTGCGTAAACACACATGCAGAGTAAGTTAGCCACAAGTGATTCACAGAGTCTGTGCAGGTTGTGTTATGGTATTCCTTCAGAGGCTGAAGGTCTCCATCCTATTCCCAAGACATTTAACCTAACCAGAGAAGGCTCCAGGGTTATTACTCCATTCCAATCGCCCCTAGGGAAGCATGTTACATAATGTGCCAAACCTTTCACTGATCCTTCTCACACAAAGTGAAATGCATGAGATAGGGTTTCATAAGCCAAAAACTTGAAAGTTAGCTTCTCTTATTCTGTATTGTAACAGTAAACAAGTTAATCACATAATATCTTGAGTTGGAAGGGACCCATAAGGATCATCGAGTCCAGGTCCTTGCTCCTCACACAACTGCCTAACACTAAACCATATGACTAAGAGTGTTGTCCAGATGCTCCTTGAACTCTGATAGGCTTGGTGCCATGACCGCTTTCTGTGGGGAGCCTGTTCCTGTGACCAAGCACCCTCTCAGTGAAGAACCTTTTCCTAATGTCTAATCTGAACTTCCCCTGACACAGCTTCATTTCCTCGTGTCCTATCACTGGCCATGAGAGAGGAGATCAGCACCTCCCTCTCTGCTGCCCCTCTTAAGGAAGTGACAGACTGCAAAGAGGTCACCCCTCAGCCTTCTCTTCTCTAAGATGAACAAACAAAATGACCTCAGTCTCTTTAAGTCTTGCCCTTGAGACCTTTCACCATCTTGGTTGCCCCTCCTCTGGACACACTCTAATAGTGTGATGACCTTATATGGAGGTGTCCAAAACTGCACACAGTACTTGAAGCAGGGCCACAACAGTGCGGTGCAGGTCCTTTTGGCTGCCCAGGCATTGTTGACTCATAGTTTGCCAACAACCCAAATCTCCAGATCTCTTTCTACTGGGCTGCTCTCCAGCCTCTCATACCAAAATTTATATGTATAACCAGGGTTACTTCGTCCCAGGTGCTGAATCCAGCATTTGCTCTTGTTATATTTCATACAGCTGGTGAGTGCACAGCTCTCTAGTCTATCCCGATATTCAGTATTAATAATGAAATCCAGCTTACCTATTGATTCAATCTGAAAGTCAAACGTGAGCTCCGATGACAGTTTACGGCTGGATTTTAACCTGCCTTGCAGATTCACTATTTTTATGCAGCCTAGACAACAAATAAGATATGTTAACCAATAATTAATCTTCAATTTATGACCTAATTTGAAGACAGACAGTATGCATGTACATGCAAACATATATATATTTAGTTGATACTAAAACTTACAATCCAAACACACCAAAATGGTATCTCTCTCCAGCTGTGTTACATGTACAACACTTGTCTCTGTAGTGTCTATAAAAAAATGACAGTGTTAGTTCATAACATAAATTATCATGAAATTTGAAATGGGAGTTCTAGAAATAGAGACAATTTAATGTGTTAGAGTGTTTTTATCTACTCAAAATAATCACCTTACCAGTGACATTTCTCTTCTCTTAGAGGGGCATGTCCACTTATCCAACATGTTGACTGTGACAGGAAAACTGAAGCTGTAATATTAAAGTATGGACTTAATCCAGCCTTTTCTGAGCCATGACACAAAAGCAAACTCACATACACATTTTTCTCCCTGTATTTTCTGTTTGTGTTATTTAATACTGCTGTTGCAACAAAAAAGGCAGATATATGAGACTGTCACAATAAACCTAAATGCTGTTTCATTCAATTTTTCTTCTGCCTTTATTTCTAAATCTTGGTGGGGACTTTAATATTAGTACTTAATTCTTGCTGTTGTTTTCAGACTTTCCATCCCCAGATCTTCCAAAAATAGGGGATTATTTTATTCTCCAGACTCTTAAAAAGAAGAGTTACCTTCCTCTATTCTGGGTTACAGCTACAGCAGTCTCCATCACAGCAAACAGGGGAATCTGACCAACAAGTGGTTAGTGGACACGTCAACCCCAAAGAGAAGTGTAGTTTTGGTCCATTTGTTTGTTAACATCAGAATTACACAAAAAGCAGCTCTTACTAATTCAGCAATACTGCCAGTGATTCTGTAGACATTCTTTCACACAGAAAAGAAACTCATTAAATCTGTTAGATGAGAAATTAGAGCATGTTACCTAAAGTACAAAAGCAGCTGTCGGTTAAATAATAAAACCCATGGTCCTGTTGAGAAGCAAAAAACTCCTCAAAGATGATGGCAGAAATGTATTCCTTGAGATGGTCCCTCCATCCCTTTTTTGCTGCTTCTCTTGGAAAGTATGTATTTATCAGCTTAACCAAAGGTGGATATAGCCATCATGAAAGCATGCAACCGAAGGATTGGAGGACAGACATCTGTGCAACCACATTATGTGAAGTGGAAACATGCACTACGCTGGTTGAAACTAACAGGAGAAGCATGGCAAGGGAAGAAACCCCCCACAGTAAGTCTATGACAGCTTATTTTTTTAAAGTGCCTTTTTCAGACAATTTCAAAAAAAGTCAAATGTCAAACAATGAAAACTACTGTTTGATGGAAGCTATTTGTGACCATATGGTACACACTCCCCTTATTTAAAAAAAAACAACACTGAAAACCAGGTTTCATTGCATTATCACTCTCCTGCCAGCAGGGGACAGGAATAAATCAATACAACAGGAGGGTTTAAATTAAGAGTCAAACAAATAGGAAAAAACAACAACATAGACACAACACAAGAACACACAAATGTTCAAGGAAGCTAAAGAAGTATTTCTGGAAGGCACAATGCAATGTTAAATTTTCCACATTAAAACTAAAACCAAACCCAAACAAAAACCCACAGTGGAACCAGGAAAGCATTACTATTCCTGTATTTACACACTGACACAGACAATACTGAGAGAAAAAAGACAACAGGACATTATAGGTCAAAGAATTTCTCTTCAGCGTGCTACTTTTATGGACTCTACTCTAAGTCACAGTTACATAAATAGATGCATGAGTAAGAAAATAAAATGCACTAACTCTGAAGTAGTTAAGTGCATTAATTGGTCATCCATGGATCACTTTGGTTTTCGTAATTATGCTTTAAATTGACAAAATGGGACACGCTTTTTGGCAGCAAGAATGTCACCAGGCATCTTCCTAGAGGAAACTGTACTTCAGCTATACAGCATGTGTATATACCAGCACAGGGCTACGTATAAATTAATCATGGATCAACAAGGTTCTCTATGTCTGGTACTAACAAAGCTATTTATTCCTTTTAGACTTGCAAGCTATGATTTGGGTCAGATCACTACTGTATCCAGCTTTAGAGGGGAACCTTGCAACTCCAGAGGAGTAATTCTTAGCACACTTCCTCCTTAAGAGAATTTCTACTGTTGCTCAGATGGCGGCCTCCTCACTTATAACACCCAGACCAGTGACAGACACGTACTTGGTTTTCTGCTACTAGTGGTCCTAAACATTCGATTTCCCTAAACATTGGAAGAATAAAAACATGCTTTCTCAGCATGAGGCTGGTAATAGCATTTCTTAACCACACTGGCTTATTACAGGAGAGCCAAACTACACCTGCAGTGATGCTGAAAGAAATTAATTGCTCAGAGTGCAATTCTATTAAAATCTATTAAATAAACAGAAGTCATGGTGCCAGAATAGAGCACAGAACAGCACAATGAGTAATAGTCAAGCACAATCTGATTTATGGAAATACAAAAAACCACAACTTCATCCTCTGCTTTACTCAAAGTCTCTAGAAATCTAATCAATTGAACAAGCAGAAACATCAAAAAAAGTGCATGTGCAAACAGGTACAACCAGATATCCCTTTAAACAGAGAACTTAAAGTGATCACTTAGTCTTAATGATTTAACCATTAGTTTCCTCAGAGGAAACTACTTTTCTAGTGCTTCAGCATAATAGGAGAACAAGGCACATTTTTAAATGCAACTACAACAGTACACAAACCTGTTTCTGTAAACCACGAAGAGGTAGAATTTGGGTTGACAGTCTCAAACTTCACCACTTGGTTGAAGTCTCTTCCTCTACAGACACCGACACAAACTAAAGGGAATTCCTGCTCAGGGACTACCAGCATTTCAAACAATCTCAGTGGACAAGGTACAGGAAAATCTATGTGCTAGATTAAAAAAACAAAAATAGGTATGAGAAGGGAACCAAGTTTAGTCTGAGTTGGTATTAACTATTTAAATTAATTATGGTAAATTTTATACCATACATTTTGTAACATTAAGTTTATTTCTTCAGATAATAGTAACTGATAAATACAAAAAGCCTGAGTTAAGAAGTTCAGTCTTCATGCCAATTCAGTTAAAATAAGATAGGATGTCTATCACCACGTGTGTCCTGCGCAGCTGCCCACAGGTTACAAGGAGTGCTATCCCCGTCATTGCTCTCCTCAGCTATGGAGTCTCAAAGCCTTGTTCCCCAGGCTGATCAAGTTAAAGCAGCTGCCTCTGTACAAGCATGAGTCTACCCTCCTTCATCTCATCAGATGGAGAGATAATAAGCATTTCTGGGCATCTCCAGTGTCACAAAGCATGGAATAAGTGGACATCTCTCTGGTATGGGAGCAAGCCTACTGTTAACCTATGTTTTCACTCCACTCTGCCATGTGTCAGTCTGTCAGCCAGAAACTTCTGTTCTTTAACTGAAGTGCACCACAAAAACAAGAGCATTCCTATAAATATTCTGAGTCAGTTAATACGTATTACACATTTAAACTGCTATTTTCAATGTAATTTAACAGAAACCAAGAGAAATGTCTACTAACTGAAGAAATGGCTAATTATTCTTAACAAGTAATTGCAAGATAAATAGAACTGAACACGAGTATTTAAACTTATCGCAGTATTACCTTGATTAACATAAATTTTTGCATTGGTTCCACCCATTCTAACAAAACAATGCTAGACTGTAGTGCTCCACAAAGGTACTTGTGGCCCGTATAGGGATTCCTCACTGCCAAAAAAGGAGAGGTAGAGTACATTAGTGTACTTAGCAAATACAAATGATAAACAACTTCCAAGTAAATAACAGTCCATACACGTTCAGAAAATGCCCACCACCACCACCACTCTAATCTTTTCTATAAGGAAGCTGCTGAAAAGTGAACATTCACACTATGAAATGATCGCAAATGAGTAAGGCATATTCTGCCCTTTCACTGGCATGAACAGCTAGCAGCTGGTGCAAAGTAAGTCATAATAAATACAACTCTCACTAGAGCACTGCGGTGTTTCACCATTCCAACTCAAAACAAAGTTTATTTTTGTTTGGTTTTGGGCATTTGGGGTTTTTTTTTGACTGATAGGTGGGATTTACTATTTTAGATAGCCTTAAAAAAATAGTTGACTACATACACATTTGAAGTATCTTGCTCCACCACATTGGTTTGCCCAAGCTATCTCCAAATGACCATGAGAAGCTGTTCAAGAATGGCTTTTTCTTTGACACAGTTATTCAGCAGGCTCTTAACAATCACAGTCACTTGAGAACTGCTCAGCTGCCTTCCAAGCACTGTCACAGTGAGTCTGAAGTCCAGGAGCTTCTGATAAAC